GCGCATCGACAAGTCAAATGCTCGGGGTATGCCCCCGGGGGATATTAATATCTGTATTTGAATAATGCATAATAATAGGTTTTTCGATCCAGAGTTAGGTCACTGTGAACTTTAAGGGAAACAAAACAAAGAAAATCGAGGGTAAAGAACGACGACATCAACGCAATATTTCAATATTTCAGTATTTTTTCTCTTTACCGTTTTTATAACAAATTCAGTTCGGTTGGTCATTAGAATGAAGGATCTGATAAAAGCCGAATTCTCCTAAGGGAAATGGAGAAAATGTATGGAAACAGTAAGGAGAAATGTTAGGCCGATCGTCTGTAAAATAGCGTTTGATTATAGAGTTCATTTTCCGTGTGTCATTTAAGTATGAATATCCTTTACTTATTCTTAAACTCTTGTTCATCCCCTGTTTACAAACCTTGTTTAACCAAAGAATTGCGGTCGTTTCGTCTAAAAGTCGGTTTGCCCGAATCTATTTCGCCCGCGGGACTAATAGTCGGTTCGCCCGCACCGTACGCTCCGTGGTCAATGGTTTAGAGAACGAGAAATAAACATGTTCTGTGTACTTTTGTTTCATTATACCTCCAGTGTTGTCTGTTTAGCTCGTTTAGTTTAAAGAAAACACATCCTTCTGTTAACTTTCAGTTCGAGCGAAAGAAATTAGTCCGGGCGAATTACAGTAACCCCGGGGGAACGTCCATAGGAAAAGGACAGGGTGTTCGACGTACCTTTTTAGGGGTTTACAAAGTGGATTTGGTATCTCTTGGGGTTCTCAGCCTCAAAATGATCTCACAACAGGAGCCTTCGCGGTACCTTTTTAGAGTATTGAGCCGAAAAAATTCAGCGTCAGTTAATGTGTTGATTTAGAATTGGTACCTCTTAAGGGTAAAAAAATTTCAAACCATCCCCATAAAACAGGATATTAGTACCTCTTTGGGGTTCCTTTCAAAATTTCCGACAAGCACCCCCGTCCTTTTCACATGGGAGCTCCCCCCGGGACAGTGAAATCAGGCGAACTGGCTATCGGGCAAAACGACCGGCTACCTAACCAAACAATCACAAAAGAAATGACAAGGATACTTGGGGGGTTCTATGTACAATGGGCTTGGACAAAGTTCTCACGTTATTTTATGTATATATCATTCATCACGGATCTGATTTTTACTATCAGCGTTTGAATAGACTCTAGTGTTTGTCCTTATGTTTGGCTAGCAAGTAAAAACCAGGTGTGACCTCGAGATGTCTGTTCTAATACTCTGTTTAACAGTCATCGAAATAGCAATAAGGAGTTGGATTCACGGTGCGGCGCATGTGCAAACACAGTTAGCCCGTTCGATTCCAATGTAAGGAACAATCGGGAGCGAATTAACAACTCTTGCGGGAGTCGGTCGTGAAAACGGTTGGAAGAGGGGATTTCCAATTTTTTTCCGACTCTACACGCTTTTCTCGCCTTCTTATCAACCGTGTGCAATTCAGCAATCACCGACCATAATTCGTGCAAAGCACAGTGGTGCCCTTCTACGCAGACATTCTTTTAGCATTTTGTGTGCGTGACGACCAAAACAATGTCTGCGTTACCTTTCTACGCAGACGTTCTTATGGCTCGTCACGCAATCTTAACGCCCCATTGCGTGACGAACCATAAAGAAGTCTGCGCAGAAGGGTAGCTCTGGGTAGGAGGGTAGCAGAATGGCTGATGTCCAAACTTTACGTTAGATGTTAACGAGTTTACACGGAAAATTTCAAATCTGGTACTGAGCATCGAATTTCTCCTCTTGTCTGAAAGATTAATTCTGGTCACTCGCGAGGAGTTAGCTAACTCGCATACATAATCGAATGGGCTCCCACCGTAGATTGCATATGCGCCAACACATAAAATTATCCCTTTACCAAATATCTTTCCGCTAGAGTGTTGTAATCGGCTATGCGAGGTCAACATTCAGTCAAGAAGTTGACATAAGTCGTCGCTTCCCAATGTTGTTCTGGATATATTTTTCCTATCAATCGAAGCTTCCTCCATCAAAACATATAAACAAGTGACAAATAAGATGGTACACACGTGGTATGGAGAGAAGCAATTCGCCTGTCGGGTTACTAATGGCAACCGCACGCTTTCACCACCATGTTCGTGTACTTTTTGAGGACTACGTTGTTGCTGTCGTCGAAGTAGAGAACCGAGATGGCCGAGAGCTTGGTGGGAGAGCAGCACGGCTGGGGTACCACTGTCGGGTTCATGAGGTGCACCAGAGTCTGCACGATGGCGTGGTTGGTAGCGTTCATTTGCGCGCTGAGGGGAAACGAACATTCTCCGAAACAGAAGAAAGCCGAGTATCCCTCCGGCGCAATGATCCAGTCCTGCCACCCAAGCCGCTGGAAGCTGACGTACAACATTCGACGACTGCAGCCCTTTTTGCTGGAGCTCTTGAAGTTTCCGCCAACGTTGGTGAACTTCGGTCCGAGGGAACGCGACGAGCGACGTCGACGCGGTTTCAGCGGGTGAAACCGTTGATACGACACGCCTTGTTCGTGGCCGCGGTAGAACGAGACTAAAAACGGGCGCTTCTCCTGCGGACCGTGAAAACCCACAAAGCCGGCGGCGGTTGAGTTTAATTCGACTCCTGCAAGCGTATGTATCGACATTTCTATTCCATAGTTTTGTTGCGGGTCTTCAGCCCAAGCTCGGCCAGCACGGGTGATATCAAATGGCTGCCAACCCGATTCCCAGCTTCGAAGCACCTTTGTATCCAGTAGCACGAGCGGTTTTGCAGGCTCGATAACCTAAGCAGAAAAAAAAAGAAAAAAAAGCTGATTAAAGCGATAACGGAGTACAGTTAAAACCCACGTGTAAGAACCTACACTTTTTTAAGTCCAGCGAAATAGGTTCTTGTATTTTGGGGCAGTTATTGGCAATTTAGGCTAAGTAGGTTCTTCATTAGGTTCTTAATTTCTGTTAAGGAGATATAGTTGTTGATTACCAGAAAAATTAATAAATTTGGGGTGTGGTCCTTGAATACACAGTATCTATTCACCACCATATTATCTATTTTCTTGTAATATAAATTTGCAATCTCAAAGTCACACTCCTTGGTTAAATTGTTTATCATAATTTAACTGTACCCACATATCAGAACCTGCTTGATCTTACTTCGCTAGACAGGTTCTTACATTTTTGGGTAAAGTCCGCATACGAGCCAAGTGGCTCATCAGGCTGGCGCTTATCTCCGGTTTCTGTAGCATGAAGCGACTTGGAGTATTTCTACTCCTCCGTGGATAGGATGCTAGTCCATCGCAGGGTTACCCCCCCAGCATTAAATTTGCCAGTACCTATTTAAACACCTGGGTGAAGAGAGGCATTGTGAGAGGAAGTGTCTTGCCCAAGAACATAACACAATATCCCTGGCCAGGGCTGGAACCCGCACCGCTCGACCCGGAGACGAGCGCACTAACCATGGGACCTCAGATTGCAATCCTATAGGGCGTCTCCTAACAAATTATACTCGCGCCGGTTTTTTATACGCGTTGTCCGCTCGGCTCGTGTGAACTCGCGATCTAGTGGGGCTGTTACACAAACATTACGCTACATACCTGATACAGTTTAATGAGGTAGGTCCTGTTTTCCTGTCCTGTAGCCTGCCCACTGTAAACCTGCTCTTTATAAATTCGGAACTCGGCTGCTGTGATATTTTCGCCTGGCGGAGTTTCCATCTTGAACCGAAATGTAGCGTGACGCTTGGAAATCTTTGGCCGCGCACCTCTTACTGTGTGTAAAGAAAGACGTAAATATTTAGTAGAACTTTTGCAAATGCTGTAGTCTGATTGGCTACGCTACTCAGTATCTATTCTGTGATAGATAGTGAGTAGCGTAGCAGTGTGCCCTTGTTAACAAAATGGCGTTTAAAACGATATCTAAACCCTCTTCACAGGCACCTGGAAAATTCACAGAAGCGGCCGTCATTTTGTTAACTAGCGCACGCTGTTAGGCTACTCGCTATCTACAAAAGAATAGATAGTGAGCAGAGTATCCAATCAGAGAACCCCATTCGTGATAGAACGCTAGTAGAGTTTTCCTAAAACTTGATAGAAACACGGCACATGTTTTCTATTTCTTAATTAGTCAGAGTGTGCAGAGGCTTTCGGTCGTCTATTCTAAAATATGGCGACGTTATTATCGTTTTTCCAGAGTTTCGGAGGAATATTTAGTGGCAAATGGATATATTAAACTCGGCGCGAAGTCAAATAATACCTAGACAAGTAACTGGAAACTGTTATTTGAAGTAAACTTCTGTTAGGAATCTAAAAAAAAAAAAACAATTAAACTATTCGCTCTCGGTTTCTATGAGGTAATAGTTAATTCGACCTTCGGCTTCATCAACTATCAGTCGGGTTGTCCCGCGGGTTTTCTCGTCAGGCACACTTTTTGTTTTTCGATCGCAAGTGAGAAATCCATTAAAAGTAGCCGGGTTTTTTTTCGTCTGTTATTTGAGCACGAAGACGCCAGCACTCATACCGGCTAGAAATGTCTCGTTTGTTTAAGAATGTACAGAAATCTAATAAGGAAGCTTATGTTTATCTTCCTTAGGAATTAACTTATAAACTTATTGCCATCAGTCACGAATGTATCACCAAATCTCCTGTAAGTATTACGATGACCAAGATTAAATCTCAACTGAATCTGCAGCGTCGGTGGTAATTGATCTTCCTAGCAACATCACACGCAAATAACCAACGTAAAGACGAGTCGTGACCACTCGTTGAGCAAAGAATGGAATCTTGCTCCATAGTCGTCTATTTCTCGCATTATTTACTGAAAAAGCGTTGCGCAATTTCGCGATAGAGCGGTTTTCAATCGAGTGTCGAATAGCAAAACTAAAGTCATTACGTTGGCCAATCACAACAGAGACACAATCCAGTGAACCAATCAAAACTCGCACTAGGCACACGTAGCCACAAAGCGCGGGAAAAAGTTGAGTCGAGGTTTTGGGTTTGCTTCTTATTGGACGAGAAAGTGGCGCGAGATTTTTAAACCACAAAGCGTAGTGATGCAAAAACCAAAATTCGAATTATTTTCGACACTTAAGGTTACAGTATACCTTCAGGGGTGTCTCGCGCGCAAGCGATGTAGCGCGTGCAGTTTAAGCTGTAGATACCTAAGCCCCTATATCAAATT